CCCCAAAACCCCAAAACCCCAAAACCCCAAAACCCCATCCTGGTCAATTTTGAGTAAGTAAAGTTGATTGTAATTGTATAATAATTTATAAACCTCTTAATAATATGGACTTCTTTGGCTATCCAGTTTGTAAGGAAGAGTATGCACAGAGACTTAGAGAGATGATTGCTGAGAAGACAGCTTTTGTAGTCAGCACTACCTACTGCTCTTATTGCAATAAAGCAAAGTCTCTCCTAGATAGAAATAAGATTGAGCACAGTGAGATTCTTCTAGACACACTTAATGCTAATGATCAGATGGAAATCTCAAATTGCATTTACGGCAGAAATCCCAGATATGTCCCAATAGTTTTCTTAAAAGGAGAGTAGATTGGAGGATATGGTGAACTTATGCAAATGTAATCAGACGGGTCCCTATAGTCTAAGTTTGGTCCCAGTGCTGATATTGTCTGAAATGATCAATTCTATACTTTACTTATAATTGAACAATTTCACATCATAGTATATTATCTTAATTCAAAATTAATTTATTCAAACAATAAAATCTCTACCTTCACATTTTATCACTGATAGAGCTTCCTCTAGTAGTTCTCAATTGCTTTTAAGAATATTCTCTATTCATCCTATCTATCTTGATACAAGTTAGTATCTTGAGACTAACTCAAATCCATAGAATTGACAGAGTAGAATTTAAGTGAGTAGTGCTGAATAGAGTTAAACTTGTAGTGCAAATCTAAGCATGCTCTTTTCTTTAGCAATAGAGATACCTCATTCTCAACTATGTAATACTCAAAATTGGATCGTATTTGATTTATTTGCCTGGTAGCCAGGTATTTAAACTAAGTGCCTTTTATTTAAGGATCTGAAAGGGAGTTATCTGTGTTGTAGTTAGGGTCTTAAACTCCACTAGCATAAGGAGTCGGTAGAAGTCTCTCATATTGATCCTCTTAGAATCTTTTTCCATAGATTTTTGTCTTATGAGTTTTTTCTCTATACTACTTTTTCATATAAACTAGGCAATCATTGCATAAAAGTCTCAGAATCGCCACTGAAATTGCAAAGGCAACAATCATTACCATATTTCTTAAACTAAAGAAATTATAGTAAAATAGCATTAGTCCAAACACTAAAGCAGGCTGCATAACATATTATGCAGCAAAAGAATAATAAGTTTGTTTACTTAGAGAAGCATTAAATGCTATAATACTTAGAACGTAAATAAATGATATTCCGAAGTCTGAAATATCTTAGATAGAAAATAACTTTAACTTATTACTGCTATCATCTATCATAGGATGGTCATTTAAATACGAAAAATTCATAACCGACCAGATTAATATGAAAATAAAGAACTCTCCCCATAAATTAAGTAAGCTTATAAAATGATTTGAGGGCCTTATTCCTCTTTGCTAAATTTCAAGAGTATTTTTATAAACTTTGATGATCAAGAATCTTAATCCGATCAAGCTATTGGCAAGTAAAATCATTTTAAGACTAGACCTGCTGCTTTCCACTATGAGGTTTGCTAATATATTAACAATCATTGCTATGAAAAGTAGATAAATTCCAGATGCTATATTTTCCTCCGGTTATTTCTTATTGCTGTAGAAATCTGGTAGTATTATGAACTGATGGACAAAGGCAAATACAAGAATAATCATGTTGAAAGAGTTAACTAGCATCCAGCATAAAACATAGTCGCTGAAATCTTGGTTTTAGGGGTTCACATTTCTTGAAAGAGCAGTGTCCAACTCAGTTGCTAAAATTAGCTAAGCTGCTACATTCAAGACTGAGCATATCAATGACAATATATGAAGCTTCAGATTGATGCATACACTGACTATTTGAAATTGCCCTTATTTCTTGATCTTGTTTTATATCTCAATACCTGGCTATTAGTTTTGATTTTATTGATTACTGGTCTTCAAATTGCTGGCATTTTTTTGTCGTTTACCTTTTTTCTTTTCAGCTATAAAATCACTATTTCCATTCGACTTATTGACGATCTTACTACTGGTATTACTGCTCTACATTCTACTATTTTATTTCTCATTTTGCTCATAAACCTAAGATTATTAATACTGCTAATCCTATTGATGAGATTGTACTGGCTATTTATTAATTTGATTATCATCACTGCTACTGCTCTCTTAATTTTATTCTCTTAATCTAAGATTACTACTGCTACTTTAATCTTTTTAATCCTCATCATATAAGCGAGATTATTGATTGAACTACATTAATTGCTACTGCATGTATTTCCTTTCCTCCGCAGAGGATGAATGCTGCTGATAAGAGGTAGTATAGCCACTATTGACCACATTCTAAGAAGCACTGCCATTTGATGACTTTTGTGGTAAAGCAGCTGCTGTTCCTTTCTTAAAGTAACTCAAGATCATTAAGATGAAGGTATATATCAAGCACCAAACACCTAATTGCAGATACTAGTTCATTCTTAGTGCAAGCATTCCTTCTATGATAGTAGTGCTGCCTATATCTTAATTCTAATTTATAGTATAAACTCAGTATAAATTGATGAGCCAATAAGTGGTGGATAGGAAACTTGCAAGTTAGCCATAGCTGATGTAGTTGTTAATATTTACTTTCATTAAAATTCTAATCTGTATTTCAACTGATATTAAAAGTAAATTCAACCAGATGGGGTTTTGGGGTTTTGGGGG